TGCTAGTCTTTTTGAAACTTTTATATTTTTCTCGAAATCTCCTCTCTTAGATCTAAGATTAACGTTTCAATTGAAAAATCAGCTCGTTAGGATCTCATTAGATATGCCGCCACTTCCAGAACCTGCTATGAAAACCGCTTTGGAAACGTTGAGTTTTTGAGAGTTTTTTGAGAGTTTTTGAGTTTTTCTCGGCAGTTCTATTTTGAAACTTTTCTGAAATTTTTAAAGTTTTTTCTCGAAAACATACTCTACAAAAGCTCGAAATAGGCGCTTAATTGAAAAAAAAAAATTTAAAAAAAAGGTTGTGCGGATCTTTCCTGCATCTAGGGCTCTCTTACTGATTTGTAAAAAAAAAACAGTTAGCAAAAGGCCAATTTTTGAAACTTTGACAGTTTTTTGGGGTATTTCATCAAAGAAATTGGGATTCAAAGTTGTGAGTATGATCAGTGTCCAATGCCATTTTTTAGCAGAGGAACTGCTATGATGTTTGAACATAACAGTACGAACACATTTTCACACGCATCAGTACAGCATATTGTAAAAAAATTTAACAGGTACATCCGCTCTAGCTGGTTCACTAGTTGAATTTGTAGTAAAAGTGGTGTTAAATTGTACGAAATTAATCATAAAAAGTGTTCAGCTTTAGAACAAGTTTGTTCTGTCTCTGATATGTATATAATTAACTTGTATGGTCGGAACATTCTGTGTTGTGTTTCAGGTTGAACGTGGAGATCAACGATGCAGTGAGTGCGCATTCGAACCTGAATGCGTACAAGGCTCTGGCCTCCCCCATGTACCTCATCTCCGTGCACCCCACAAACCCCATTCACGAAGCCTTATCTCTCAGGTACCCAAACCCCCCCCCATAATATCATAATAATCATAATAAAAATAATCATAATAATAATAGTAATCATAATAATAATCCTCATAATATATTGTTTTCTAGGACGCTTTGTTCCAATGATAATTTAGTATAGTTCATCTTCAACTAAGCACCGAGCTCAGAGGATTTTCTCAAAGGGGAATTTTCAAAAAAATTTTGGAAAATTTTGTCGAATTTTTTTCTAGGGTGGCAAACTTGATGTTCCGAGCTCATCTAAAGCACAATAAAGACCCTGTTTTGGCCAAAGTTTCTGCCCCGCAGGCAAAACTTTGAAAAAAGGCGTTTTTAGGCTCTTTTAGGAAAATTTTGACCCAAGAATTTTTTTTTTTTTTTGGCGCGCGCTTCCTCAAAATAAGTAATTACCGAGCTTGAACGGCCGCTGAAAAAATTTATAGTCGGTTAGAAAGCTCCAAATGATAACCACAGACATAAAACTCTTTATACAGAGACATTAGCGAACATATCATTACACGCGTCTCTTCAAGATCCCCTCCCCACCCGGCTGTCATTCAGACTGCCATAGGCCCAAATGCAACCTGTATGGGACTGAACGCTTTTATTCAAACTACAGAACGATTCGGTAAAGAAAATGGGAAAAAGGTTGATTCATGAACTTGAATGAATTTGATGCGCAATTCCTTGTGCATCTCTTTTTAAAAATTCAAACCTTGCCTCGCCCTTCTCTTCAAGAACCTCAATAGGCATACCAACACTCTTTTCTTGATTAAATAAATATTCAGTTGGTTATCCTTACTTTCAATTTTTTGGAGCAATCCAAGGAATTTAACTGCACGTCAAAAAGGAATTAGGGAAATTCAATTTTTCCAACGGCTCCAAGAAGCCCCAAAATGAAAGTCACTATTTTTTAGATTTAAATTCGGAAAACGTGTTTCATATTTAACAGTTTCTGACGCTAGTCATCAAAATGAGTGAACTGATTCAAAAAACGATACCGTCTACTAATTGATTTTTATCTTCAAACCATATTTGCCACTCAAATACACTAAATAAGGAAAAAAATTTAAAAAACTGGCTTTTTAAACTTGTTCACTTCTGCCTTTTGACCTCTTTTTCCGAGTCAATTTTTATTTGCTTCCCTTTTTTTTGGGAAGGATATCTCCAATAGCCCACCCCACACATGGATGTCCGATTAGTATTCAGGTCTATAAGTCGTAAATTCCAAATATAGTAACGGATGACGGGCACTGAAATGACTGTACCTCATTTAAAAAGGCGATGTGTTGACATTTAGCCACAGAAATTACATCAAATTAAGCTTTTTGTTCGTAAATGAAAAATTGCGGCTGATTTGAAACTAGCAGTGATATTTTTTGATGAAATTATTAGAGACGGAAAAAAAGACTTTGTCGAAGTGGATTTTTTGTCAATATATTAGCAACAGTAATATTATAAAAGAAGTGATAATTTTTCTTTTGATTCCAAAAGATTCTGAAATGACTTGGAATTCAACACAAACTCTGAGAATTCTAGGGCAAATGTATGCGGAATCTCCCGCACTGAAGTCCCAACGATCATAATATAATATTTTGTCGTTTTATAATCAGTATCTATAAAATATAAAGTAAACGATTACATTCCATTAAAAATGCACTAAACCTTAACATGTTTTTATGTCAATATAACCCATTAGAATCAATTTTAATTGACGATGTTGAGTTTTTTCAGATGCTATTCGAGAAGTTTTGTTTTAAATGAAATCACTTGCTGCCTAGTTCAGTTTACATTTCACATTAGATTTTATGGGTGACAAAAACTTATACTGAAAGCAAGTTAGATGTCACTAAAAAGACAAAAATTAGTTCGTTACTTGTTTTTGGTAAAGTTACAAAAAAAACGAGCTAACCAAATCTATTGCTCAAAAATAAATTTCAAAAAAAGGGAAATATTATAGATTATATAATCCCATTGCGTATCAAAACATATATATAGCCTTACCCGCACCAAAGTTTCATGGATAAAAATCAATTATATTGAATTTTCGTGGTCTGTCTCAAAAACTTCGATAATAATCGATTATAATCGATTAAAAATGGATTAGAATCCATTATTTTTTATAACAATATAATCCATTAAAAATGGATTATATTTCGTATTTTTTATGCCAATATAATCGCTTATAATCGTTTATAATCGAATGTAATGGATTTTTCGAGAGGTGAGTCATGAAACTTACAAGTTTTTTCAAAGTTATCGCATTTCCTGTTTAGTGCAGTTGCTTTATTAGGTTTCATAAAATGTTACATTTCAGTTTTCAATTTTTATAACTTTTGCCTTATATACCCCGTTTACCCCTCCCTGTTTACCCCCCCCCCCCCCCCCGCTTTCCTCCCTGTTCGCACAACCCCCCCCCCCCCCGTTTAACCCCCCCCCCCCCCACCTCCCTGCCAGTTTACCACAACCGCCATTCGCCCCCCCTTATGGTGGGTTTTTTATTAGTCATTGGTAGACTCTGTGGAGGGGGTTTACGATTTACACCCCCCCCCATTTTTTTAAACAAATCTTAATTTTATTTTATTAACCCCCCCATCTTAATTTTATCCTCCCCCCTCCCCGTTTACTGAATGTGGGAGGGGGTGTAAAAAATGTGGGCGGGAGGGTAACCTGAACAACTGAGTATACTCCTTCCCCCGTCCCCGTTGAAAGTTGAAAATAGTAAACAAACTGGGGGGACTGTGGTTTGGGGGGAGGGTTTTGGGGATAAACTTTAGCAAACATGGAGGTGGGCGGAGGGATAAACGTAAGGTAGTGGGGGAGAGTGTTTAGGCAAACGCAGAGGGGGGGGGGCAAAGTGGGGAGGGGGTTATTTCGATTAGGTTTAGATTGCGAGTAGGCCGTGAGTAACGCAGAAATGTTGCAAGTTTTGCAAATGATTTTGCAAAAAAAAATTTGTAGATTATAATCCATTATAATCAAGTATGATGGATTTTAAAAGGATTATATTTTTTTATAATGGATTTTAAATGGATTATAATCCATTATAATGGATTTTAATGGATTGTGTTTTTTAGAAAAGAATCGATGATAATGACAATATAATCGATTTCGTGGTCTAAATTTGCCATAATAATGGATTATAATGACAAAATTTTAGACAACATTTTTCCATTATAATCGATTATTATCCATGGAACTCCGGTGCGGGTAATCTGAGTATTATGAAACCTTAATGAAATGCATAAACTATATAAATACGACACGTAGAAAACCGATAAGCATTCCCAAAAGCTCTAACTAAAATTAATTGTTGTGAACAGATCAATTTGAGACACAATAACAATACCTTTCTGATTATCGTAATTTTTTCTCTTATTTTTCAATTAATGGCAGTTTAACAACAAATCTAATTTGATTTCACAAAATCGTCATTCAACCACCATCGACGTTCAAGTTTCACCCAGCCCACAACATCCCCCTTTCCCCATCCAAACTCCTCATAGCAGGAGGGGGCTGGGGTAAAGACTGAACGTGGTTTGGGGGCTGAAGGAGAGATTGAACAATGTTTCATTGTTTTTGTTTCTTATCACAATTAGTTAGTGACACAGAACTAAATTTGATGCAAAATTTCTGCAAAGTAGTAGCAAAATTAAACGATTTTACAAGTAAAAAGAAACCGAATAACAATGGGTTATAATTGATCTTAAGTTTTCAAAAATAACCAATTGTTATGTATTGTCTTACGAAAAAAAAAATAGATATCAATGCCAAATAAAATGGATGAAAATCGTGTATAATGGATAGTAATGGCTTTTTTCACAATCTAATTGAGTTTATTGACAATGTAATCACGTTTGTTGTCTAAAGCTTACATCTGTAATGAATTTTAATACACAATTTTTGTCTCGAAATTTTAATAAAATCTATTAAAATCCATGAGCGATCTGTGAGGGCAGATCACAGATAACTACCAAATGAACCGAGCTTGGTGTTGTAATGAATATAACTTGCGACATAAAACCTGCCAGCAATTTAATCAAACCGTCCGAAACGTTCATTAGTAGAAGCGATTTTTTCAGGTCCACATTTGTTTTTTTAAATATTTTTTTTTGTTCTGGCATATTTTAAAAAAAGAGCACAATTTTTGACCTACGACGTTTCTACGCAATTTTTGTTCACGCATTTTTTAGATTATGCATTTTTTGGGGTCAAGAAAAAAAACTAAACTGAATAATTTTTGACTAATTTACTGCGTAGACTATAGCTGTGGATGTCCTTTCCAATCTCTTTTTGCAATTGTTTCAAGCTAACTCCTGCTACTTGATGGCAGTATCTTTTCAATCCACGAATCCTTACGATGTTAATAAACCTAACATTGTTCATTTTGACGCTGGATTCCTATTTTTCACTGATTTTCACATGTATAAACTGTGTCAAAAAACTTATGATTCTGAAATGGTATACATGGCTGAATCAAACTATCCGGACTAAACAAGTGTGAAATTTAAAAAAAAATTTAATTTTAACTCCTAATTTACACTCTCCAACTTTTAAATAAAATTTTTTAACTTGAAAATAAATACATATAAGACGTGAAAAAAAATCAATATCATTATTCGGCTACATATCCAATATTTTTTCGAACTGCATTTGTTCTATAAGGAATGCTCCGATATAACCGATGAATGTGTTTGTCAAGGAATTGCCAAAAAGTTTCAAAAACTTGACCAATTTTTTCTTCAATTGTTATAAGGTGTTTTCACGAAACTTTTTTAGGTGTATTTCGATAAATTTGCATTAATATTCAAATTTAGAAACTGCGAGGTCCAATTTTCCAAATTTGGAAACAATTTTTTTGAAAAACTTTTTTCGAAAAATTGGAGCTATGGCAACTGGCCTTGTATTGCTTGGAAATTTAGTCCAGGTAAAAATCTTTCATCATGTGAACTTCCATTAGGTGAATTTCCCATTTTCCATCATATGAAGTAAAGTGCAATATTTGGTAAAAATAGTGCTTCCGTCAATGACTACAATATCTTTTTCCCCTGAAACTTTTATGTAGCCGCAGAATATCATACTTTCCTCCAAATTTTGCCGTGATGTGATTGAGATGGTAACGCAAAAATAGGGGGTCGTCTCACTTAACCCTTGGCGCTGCAGTAAAATTCAACGATTGTTCGTCTAAAGAAAAATCCCCGAAATTTTGTGATTTTTTTGATAAATTTTTGCCACTATGTTGTGCGTTTTTTTTTCTGTTGATGTTCAGTTCTTTCATGTCTAAAACTGAATGAATTGAGCCTGTTGATTATTATAAAACTAGTTCAATTTTTTTCAGAAGCTCTTGAGGCGTCGCAAAGGAAAATTTTTTGCTATCAAATAAGTATAACTTTCGTCTCTTTCGGTAGTTTATTTTGGGCCGTCCTTTTGGCTCTAAAAGAATGCCCATTTTCCAACTTACGGCATTTCTTCAAAAAATCATATCTTGTAGATTTGGGAACTTAAGTGTTTATCGATGTTTTATGTGAACTATAATTTTGAGATGAAAGTTCCAAAACTTAGCAACAATTTTGTTTGATTTTTTGATTATTTATTTTATTTTTGAATGTGGCAGGAATCTGTACAAAGTGTTTAGTTTGAATAATGAGTTTTTAAAGAAATATTAACGCCTTGTTTTTTTTTCTTCACACCTTTCGAAACATTTGGCTGGTTTTTGGTTTTGGGACATCTACAGAGTGTAGGCCAAAAACAGTAATTTAATTGATGTTTTCTCTACGAAAGGAATAAAACAAGGTCACATCTACAAATTGCTGATGGTCATAAACCGACTTTCTTCAGGTGTTCTGAGACTGTTTTTGTGATTGAAAAAGGTTGATGCATTTATAAGTATAATCAAGTAATCTTCTGGGTTGGTTATTATTGGTTATTTTTGGTTACTTGTGAGATTCGAACTGCCGACCCTTGTTAAAATGCATGTCTTTTTTTAGTTACGAGTTGCACCAGTGGAGTCTGTGGGAGTACGAGTTCCACCACGAGTACCAGACTATGGCCCAGTCGGTGGAACAGTTCGCCCTGGACCTGCTGGATCTCACCCATCCGGAGGAACTGGAGACTCTTCTGGTGAAGGGACCCTCAGGGCAGGAGTTGGAGACTGTCACACACGCAGTCGAGCTGGAACGCAAAAATGTACCTCGTTTGTTTTTTTTTCTGATAAAGTTTTTTATGTGACAGAAATTTTAAATTCAAAAATATTGCTTAACAATTAATATGATGTTTGTTAACTTTTTAGTCAATTTCTTAACATCAAATTCAAGTCTGAACTTTCGAACTTCAATCAATTTTTCTGTTTTTGGCAATGATTTATTTTTTTTCATTAAAAAAATTCATAAAGGCAGATTCATTTTAAAAAAAACAGCTTCCCTGGATAAAAATTGAGACAATTTTTTTCTTAAGATTGCGCCAAATTTTGATTTTAGTCTAAAGAAGAACGAATCATTTTCTACAGTTGCTCCTTTCTCTTAGTGTTGTGAGCTCTTTTGTTTTGCAGTTCGTAGCAAGTGCAAACTTCCAAGTGGTGCTATCGCCCAAGTGGTATGGCAAGAGTGGGCCTTATCTGAACAAGTTGAGGCGGATGAATGTGCTCTTCTGGTACCTCATCTTCCTCCCCACAGCAGTCCTCCTCACCCTCATCGAACTGCCCCTCTCAGCCCTCATCTACACCTTCTATCCCGGACTAACTCTGCACGGGTTAGTCATCATTAATAGTAAACTACGATAACTACAATTTCTACCTTGACCTAACTCTACACGGGTTAGTCATTATAACTACCATGTTACCATAACTATCATAACTACAATTTCTACCCTGCCATAACTCTTAGTCGGGTTAGTCATTATAACTACCATGTTACCATAACTACCGCAACTACTGTTTCTACCCAGGCATAAATCTTAGTCCGGTTAGTCATAATAACTGGAATGTTATCTCGCAACTTAACAGGTTAAGTTCTGAGATAACCTTCTAGACAGTCTCACAATCTAACCATTTTGAATAGTCCTCTGGGTATAAATGGCCAGATATGACCCTTTTTTGAGTTGATTGGAAATAAATCCAGATCCTAGATAAAAAGAATCCGTCAGAACTCCAATAAGCGAGGTGGGATCAATTTTTTTAAAACTGAAATAATTTCTTTTTTTGACATTTTTATTGATTGAAGCGACTAAGGAAACTATTTCAGGAAAAAAGTTCAAAGTTTTTGACATCGGCTAAACTGTTTAACCTCATACGGAATCTTTCTCTATGTAATTTTTTGGTTTCTGTCATGATTATTGTTCCGACTTTCGATACGAAAGTAACGGAATATTTGTGCTCGGGGTGGGTTTTTTTTTCTTCAGACAAATTTCGACTTTTTAACTAGCCATTTTTGACAGAATTTTTTTAATCATTCGAAAGCTATTGTTTTCCTGAGCTTGAATTTAAAAAGATATTTTACCTGTGATCATTTTTCATAAAATTATGGGGGTTTAAAGACTGCCATTTTGGCCAATTTGGGACAATTAACGCGCGATAAATTTCGCGCTATTAACGCGTAAGCGAGATTTAATCCGTCTTAGAAATCGTTCCAAATTGGTTCAAGGATGCTTTTATGCCATAATTGATTTGTTAATAGGCGCAAAATCTATCACTTTGTACTTAATATGACGTGTGGGGGGATGTTTTTACATAAAATCTCAAATTTTTTCAAATTTTTTTTAAAATTTTTTCTATTACATTGAAAATTTTCATGTTATTAATGCTCCAGAGACCTTAAAAGGCAGTCGGAACATTCAGGGTTTCGCCCTGATACGAGCAGTCTTGTATTTTAATTTAGGACTAGGGGAAGATGCGTATATAACCAAGCTCATAAAAGTTAATACGGCCAAAGAATTTCAATTTTTTCTCTAATAGTTTTTCTAAAACGAGAGTAAATTTTGCGCTTCGCTTTTGGTTATGCTTGCTTTAGAAATATAAATGTTTTTGAACATTTTCTTAAAGTTATTGTGGTTCAAGGGTGCGTATGGGTGACCTAATCAGGATCCCGTTCATCAAATTCATCAATCACATGGCCTCCCAGATGACGTTTCTGTTCCTGCTGATGCAGGCAGCCTCCACCAGTGCAAACCGGGGCTTCAACCGACACACTGGGTCGGGCAAGAACCACGACCAGAACTACGACCTCCTCAACCCCTCCCTCACCGAGTGGTGGATCTGCATATGGGTCATGGGTCAGTCATCCCCCCCCCCCCTCTTTGATCAGTCTCTTAAGAATTACTGGCTTGTTTAGCGTCGTGGAATGATTAGCTAAACCCTAAGTTAAGTTGATTTGCTCAGTAGCTTATTCGTTTTCTTTACAGCGGCAAAATTGAATTTGTTCTTGTTACGTAACCATGAATCTGATTGGTCGTTTGGTGGATGAACTGTATCGTGTTGTATTGTCTAGGAATGGTGTGGAATGAGTTGAAGCAGGTGCACGCGGCAGGGGTGAGTGCCTACTTCGGGGATCTGTGGAACCGGATAGACGCCACCATGATAGTGCTCTACTTCTCCACTCTTGCCTTCAGAGCCGCCTCTTACCTCACTGTAATGAACATTTACACAACTACATCCACTTTTTCCACTTTTCGACGTGTCTGTCAATCAGAAATTAAAATAAAAAACTAACATTTTTGACAAAAAAAATAATTAAAACCATTAAAAAAACCAAGCCAGAAATTAAAACCAGTAAAAAACTAACCTTTTTTGACAGCCTGAAAGCTCTATCGTTACTCAAGGTGCCCTGATTCGAGTAAACGACCCTACAATCTTGCAACTTTTCGTTTATTTGTTTTCAGCATCGTCTCTCAGACGTCGTGCTCGACCCCGCCAACCTCAATTCAACCAACATCACCAACTTCAGTAGTCACCTCACCTCCTCCGGAGCATCATCAGGAGCTGCAGGAGGGGGGAGTATCGGGGACACCTTGGATTCCATAGGTGCAGGGTGGGAACTGTCGTCATCATCGACCCCCCTCCCAGGCGTGGACGATGAGAAAGAGGGGCCTCTAAAGTGGCAGTATTGGGACCTTCTGTTTTTGTCCGAGGGGGTGTTCGCTCTGGCTAATATCTTCAGTTTTATGCGACTAGTTACCCTGGCGACTCTTTCACAGCACATAGGTAATTATTAATTTCGCAATAATTAGACTCGGACTAATTATTGTTCTGTACACTTAGAATTGGAAACAGAGAGTGACTGCTTAGACTTCTTATAGCTGAAATTATAGAAAGCCCCAAACTCTTTTAAAAAATAAGTGATGAAACTATTTGAAGACGATTTTTAAAGTAAGAGTAACTCGTCTTACGATAAAAATGATTGATTCAAATTTCTCTGCAAAATCTCCACAATTTAATCAATAGAAGTTTAATTTATAGGTATGCAACTGAACTTCGTCGTATTTTCATTTCAGGGTTTCTTATTGAAGTTGAGGTTTTGTTTTAATAACCTGAAATCAATGAGCCCAGTCTTTTCAGATAAAAGGAAAAAATATTTTTTAAAAAAGAATGAAACAGTGGGTGGATTGAATGAAGATTGAGAATTCGAGTCGAAAATCTCGTCTCATTGAGCCGAGTGATGTTGTGTTCAGGTCCAATGCAGATCTCGTTGTCTCGGATGGTGAAGGATGTGATGAAGTTCATGTTCATCTTCTTCCTCGTCCTCCTCTCCTTCGCCTGTGGCCTACACCAACTGAACTGGTTCTTCAAAACAGACTGCAAACACTCAGATCCTATCTCAGACTACGGGGTCACAGGTACGCTATTCGGCCACGAACTCGAAAAGTATTATGAATAAGAGGCACTGTTTCCTTTTTTCCATCCCCCACCTCACATAAGCAACAATTTTATGGTAACGAGGGGTTTTACAAGGTTAACAATGAAGACCAAATATGTTTGTCATGGCCCAAATAGTTCGCATGCCAATTTTCTTAACATTCGGATTTCACTAGTAAAATTTTGCAGGTGGGGGGGGGGGGAGGGGGGGGGGGGGAAGAGCCGAATAAGATCCCTGCTCTGTGAAAAAAATTACAAATGGTTTGCTCACAGAAGTCTGTCTGCATATACAACTTGTCGTGTAAAATGTTACGGCTGCAGGCCGCGCAAAGATACTACCAAAGGGCAATTGGTCATTTTCGATTTCACAAAAAAATGCTAGTGAGTTGTCAGCAAAAGGCTTCTTTTGTTCAATTTTAGGCACAAGTTTTCTTTAAAAAAGCGAAAAGTACTAAAAATCGTGACATTTGCATTAGATTTCTTTAACCATCAATGTAGTTCAGCACTTCAGTTGCTCAACAATATCAGAAAAATTATGTTCTTTCTATTATAGGAGTCTGTCGCGACGGATCCGACAAAAAAGCCTTCGACTCTCTACTCATGGCAATGCGGACTCTGTTCTGGGCACTATTTAACCTCTCGCCGCCTCCGAACAACATCGAGACTTCCATCCCGAACAACAAATCCACACCCATTATCATGTTCATAGTTGAGGCCATGTATGCGAGCTATTACGTCACTGCTGTGATTGTGTTGTTGAGGATGTTGGTTGCGATGATGACGACCAGTTATCGAGACATCGAGGTTGGTCCAGGTCATGATGAAGCTAATAAATTAAACATAAAACTTGTCAAAAATTATCAGAAATTTTAATTTTTGCATAAAAATTGTCGATAATTTTAACAAACTTATATGATGCAAAATAGGCTGCCACAAATTTTTGAATAGAACGCAATCGTTATAGAAATCTTTGGAAAAAGGCATGTCAAATAACCTAATAGTGGCCTAATCTCCTTCTCCCGTCTCAAGATTTCCAGATATATCTTTGATTTCTGTGAAATAACCGCTGATTTCTGAATCACATGCAACTCGGAAAAACCCACAGTAAATTAAGTTATTATAAAATAGGGATTGAGATCTTATGCTACTTTTCAGAGTCGTGCAGACGTTGAGTGGAAGTACGCCAGATCCAAGTTATGGATGACATACATAGAAGAGGGGAGCACCCTGCCTCCCCCCGTGAACCTGTTACCCAGTATGAAGTGGGTGGTTCGGGTGGTGATCCAGATGGTAACTGGGAAGTGTTGCAAGTGTGACTCCTTCAAGGACAAGGTAGTAAGTGTAAACCCAGACCCCTCAAACGACAAGTATGAGCGTACATCTTTCATATATTCATTTAAACTTAAACTCAAAAACTCTTTTTGATAGTTCGAACATGGTTTATGTTTATTCGCACTATTCAACGAATGAAACTGTCAGCATAGTCTATAATAACTGAAACTATTGGCAACTTGCGGGTACTTAGGCAAAGCCAAGTCAGAACTTTTTTGAGAAATTGTTCCAGGAAAGAAAATTAAAAAGTGAAATTAAAAACTTTTGAAATATACATTCTTTCGTTTTTGCCGAAATAGTCGATGATTTGATCACGTATTCCAGGATGCCCTCAAGCAGGAGGAGCAGCGGAGAAAAGACGAGTACAATTATAAAGTAAGTACAATTATATATTTTTTCTAAAGTGCAGAAAATTTGTTTTTTTTTTTTTCGTTTTTTTTCATGTGAACTGTTAACTTTTAACCTCTTCTTTTTTAGAGGTTAATTGACAAACTGATCGGTCGATATCGGAAGGAAAAAGCACGCGTGAACATCATTTATCCCGAAGAAACGGAAGAAATCGGCAAATCGATAGTGGTTCTACACACCGAAAACCGACGTCTGCTCAGCTTAATCCAGCGACTTACAAAAGACTCAGAGGAACATGCCAAAAACTGGTTCCACGATTACAATGTTAGAAATCAGTACTTGAAAAGCGACTCGACTGAAAGCAATCCAGGGGCCAATTCAAGTGGGGGGAGGAATGAGTTACACCCCCGACATGGACCCCGTCATCAGCAAGGTGGGGGTCAAAATCATCAAGCACCCCTTCAAAGACCTGCCTCATCAATAGGGGGGCTCAATTATGCCACTTCGTTTGCAGGAACAACTGGAAATCACTTAGAAAGTAAATGTAGCATGAAGTCAAATGCGTCACATCTTCAGAACACAGGAAACCACCATGGAAACATAAATTATAATTTGCAATTAGCAGGTGTTAACCTGTCACCGTCAAATGCTCAAGGCCATCAGATGGGAGACGAGGAAACTAGTTTAATCCACCGTTACAACGGACAGTCAAGGTCAAACCGGTTATTTGTCGACGAAGCCGAAGAGATCATTGTCGAAACTGACATGTCATCGTGCGACAGTCCTGTTCGCCAGATATTCTGCCAAAGTGGAAGTAGTCTAGATGATGCAGATACTGATGAAATTCGGCTAATTTCGCCTTCGTCTGAACGGAATCGAGAGCGAGATTTGGCTAGAGATAGAGCCCTCCAATCAAATTCAGTTCAACAAAAAACAACAAGTGTGCATCATCATCACCGTCCCCTCTCAAATGCGGAGAGCGGAGATGAAATAATAAAAGACGAAACGCGAGTATAAGTGTCTCACTAAACCTAATCTACAAAAAACCACTTTTTTGAAAATTAGGTAAGACAATTTTGGGTGTTTTTAGCACCTGATAAGACTAAAGCTTGATTTAGAAGCCAAAAGGCACATGAAAATAATGAAATCAACAATAAGAAGCCAAGCTCGGATTTCAAGATAACAAGAACTAAGCTATTACCTCTCTAATATCTCGTATATTTGATTTAGAGGCACTTTACTTTGTTTAAGGAATTCATTTAAAAATCAAGCCTAAGCAAAATACCGTCAGTTATTTTTTTTGTCCGTGAAACTCTAGAATCCACCTTGTCTGTAAATTTCTATAAAGTCTTGCTAGCCAAAATCCAATTTTAGCGACTACTTTTAAACTATGTGTATTAAAAATTAAATTCCAAGTGCCTTTTGATACTTTCGCTGCTTGCCTTCAAGCTTTAGGTTTGAGTTTAATATAACACTAAAGGTCACACATCTGCCTTGTCTGCAAATTTCGTATAAAATCTCGCTAGAGAAAAACCAAATTTAGCGACTAGTGCTTAACTATGTGTATTTCGTAAATTATTTTCCTAGCGCCTATTGATATTACCGTTCAGTGGGTTCGAACATTAGCTTTGAACTATATGCAAAATAGGAAACATTTCCCACAAGGTCTCAAAGTTCTGTGATCGTCTCTGATTTTTATCGGCCTCCTATTGACTTTCCAGCGATTAAAACCAACAAAAACTGAAAAAAGACTTTTTGCGGGAAGGGAGCGTGCCGTAGTAACGTTACGTTTCATTCTACCTAAAAAATCATCTCTTCAAGAGTCCAACTAATTGAAAAACTGAATAAACAGGTATTGTTATATTCCGCTCGAAACGAAACTCTACAAATGAAAACCTAATTTTTGAGCCCGAAAGCATTTTTCTATTTTTGCTCCATTTGCATTTTTATTAATGGCATGCCTATTTTGCAGTAAATTTGAAAAAAAAACACAGCGAACAGACAATGAAAAAGTGTCAATAAACCCAACAAAAATATGCCAACAAAAAGATGCCAAGTTAAGCACAAAACTAATCTATTACCTCTCGTAATTCCCGCTAAATTGATTTTAAAAGGAACAAGAAATTGTCTATGGAATTTTTCAAAGATCAAGCCTACGCAAAATAACGGCAGTTACAAAATCTTGTCTATAAAATTAGAAGATAAACCAGTTTCGGCCGTTGAAGCGAAACAATTAAATTTAAGCTGGATTTTGATAGTTATCAAAGAATTCCGCAGTTTTTACCTCAAATTTCATTCCACGCTTTGTCAAGGGATTCCAGATATTGTCTTTGAAATCCACAGTTTGTCTATAACTTCTGTATTTTGTCTTTGATTATAAATAACTGTTGTTGCTTAACAGGGAGAAGCACCTACCATATTGTGAGTTCACTGCAGAAGCAAAACACGTTTGTCGATGATTTTATCCAACTATGGCTAAGCATAACATATAATTCTAGAATCCGGGTTGTCTGTAAAGTTTTTTTATAATTTTTTGTTTGCAAAACGATAATTCTAACGACCAGTGTTTATCCATATTGCAAGTTTTTTTCCTTGTTTTTACTGATATTGCTGCTCAGTGGGTTCTAAGATTAGATTTTAGTTATGTTTAAAATTAAAAATAGCAACACTACTTGTATCAGGGCGAAACTTTGAATGTTCCGAATGCTTTTTAAAGTCTATGGAGCAATGTTCGTTATAGCAAAATTCAATGAATATAAAACAAAATGGAAAAACTTAATACTTCATTGAAATATTGTTGAAAATTATCCCCTCACAACTGCTATTTAAGTACAATGTGACAAATTTTGCTCCTGGTAACGTGGCAATTATCAAAAAACAGCCTGCTTTAACTAATTTGGAGCAATTTCTAAGACGGAAGAAATATCTGCTTACGCGTTAATAGCACGGAAATTATCCCAAAATGGCTACCTTCAAACCGCATAACATTACGAAAAATGACCAAATTAAAGTATCTTTTTTTTTAAATTTGTTCCGAGGACAACAGTAGTTTTGGGATGATTTAAAAAACAGTTATAGTGAACCTTGTCTAAATGAAAAAAAACACCCGAGCACTAATATTCCAGAACTTTCTTCAAAACGAAGAAAACATCTCTTAAGTATTTACAATTTTTAAATTATTTTTGATCGTTTCTGTTGTTAATTGGCCCATTTTGGACTCGCCAGGAACTAACACCCAGCCAAGACTGCACGGATTTTTTTTTTGTGGAAGTGGATGGCGTTACATTTCATCCTACCAAATAAAGTCACGTCCACTAGAACTAAATCTATTTAAAAGAAATTGAAACAACAGGTAATATTTTACTCCGCTCGAATATCGACAAATGGTGGCTTTTTTGAAATATAAAGCAAGTTTCGAATTTTGAAATCTCTTTAAATACTTTTTGTGATTGGCACTTTTTTGATAAATTTGACCTAATTTGAGACAACAGGATCAACAGATAGATGTTTCATTCCGCTGGTAGATCTTAACACTCAAATTCAGATTCCGAACTAGAAGCCTTTGAAATTTTCTGTATGACTTTTACATAATTGCAAATTTTTACAAATTTTCTGTATGACTCCATTCGATAGTGGTTTTTGCTTTCCTTTTAGCAAATGAGTTTTGACACGAAATCGTCAAAAGTCAAACCGTAAAACATCAATATTGGTGCGAACAAATTAAAGACTTATTCCCGCAAAAAAAAACGAAAAATGTCAACTCGACCTATTTAAATGTCTTACTACTTTCATTGGTCTTTTAAAAAAAATTAGCGCAAACATCTTTCTATGAAATAAAAAAATAAATAAATCATTCAACCTATATCTTACAACCTAATAATTGGTTCATTTTGGTTGAGGAAAAGATTTTATGGATGATCCACACATTAGTACATGTAGACGAAGTTCTCTTTAAATAAAGTATCATCAACCTGATTGAAGAGACAATATCAGCCATATAAAAACTCGCAAATCAAATTTTAATTCAAACTGAAACCTTTACTCAATCTGGTAAAAAAATTATAACAGATGATAGAAAATACTTTCAACTCTTCTTGTAATTTTATGCTACTAAGTTAGGATCGAAATTTGTTAATATTCTAACGATTTCAATGGTAATAAATTGGTTTAGTGAGAATCAAATTCACCTATAGTTAATTATAGCTTTATTTTCACAACTTTCAATTTGATGAAAATTTTCAATCTATATGCGATTGAACTCATGCGCAATTTGAACTCCAAATTATGAATTCAAAAATTATCACCTTTTTGTACAGCAGTGTAAAATTGTTGATTTACGATGTAATCTAGCGATGGTTATAATTTCGCACATCATCAGGCTAATATAATTTTACACACTTGATTCTGTTTTCCCTCTCTAAATTGATCACAACTTGGCTCGAATGTCGACTTTCATTATATTCTCGTCGATATTCCAGGTAGTTTTCAGGTTGTTCAGCTGGAATCCATCAATATCGTTGATCTAATTGAAAAATGAAAATAACGAAAAGGTTATTACCAGGATAAATTAATTTCTTCTCATTTCCTTTCACTTTTGATTAAATTTTAACGCAGATTGAATGATTAAATATGCTGAAAACACTATGGCATTTATTCCCAGGCAAGGCGGAAAAAAATACCTTCCAAACTTTTTGATGCTTCAAGTTGCAATTGCTGGCAGTTGCCTCTAATAGTTGGGAGACGTAGTTTTCCACAATTGACCTGAAACAAACCCATGACTCACATGCAGGGGCGGATTTAGGGGGGGGGGGGCGAACGCCTCCTTCAGGGATTCAACACCCTGCCGACCCGAAGGGTCCCCCCTTTGGTACTTTTTAAGAAATCCACTTTTGGCTGACCGACCCTAAAATTTTTCTAAAGGCGCCTTTGGCGCCAATGTTTACTAATTTTGAGGGGGGAGCGCGCGCCGAAAAAACGCAATTTGTTGGTCAAAATTTTCCAAAAAGTGCCTAAAAACGCCTTTTTTGACTGTTTTTTCAAAAATTTGCCTGCGGCGCAGAAAACTTTACCAAAATAGGGGCGAAACAGTGCTTTGGGAGAGCTCAAAAATCAATTTGGTCCACCTAAAAAAAAAGGTCGTCAAAATTTTCAATTTCTTTTTGAAAATCCGCCCACCCCCTCGATAAAATCCTAGATCCGCCCCTGATATCATGTGTTCCGACAGCAGCCCATTCCACATAAAATAAAACACCTTCGCCCATCAAAGGTTCCACAATTTGGTGGTTTTTACGTCATTCAGTTTGGATGGCCAAATTTCACCTGATACAATTTTTCGGAACATTTTTATGGGGGTCTAAAACCACCAGATTCGTCAAAACTTGGTAAAATTAATTTGGGCGAAAAAAATCTTTCATTTTTTTGGTAATGCTAAGGGAAAACTGATCCAGGCTAACAAATTTAAACTTTAATCTAATAGACAAGCTATAATTATCTATTAAATTTCGTAACAGTGAAGATTTTCAAAAATAAAGCAACTTTCAAAATTAAAAGCAAATTTCAAAAAAAGCTGCTTTACATGCATTAAACGGTTTTCGGAGTTTTTAGGCTTCGCTCTGATATGAACAGTGTTATTAGTTTTGAGCTCAGAGACCATTTTTTTGTCAATCAAAAAATGTTAAATAAAAAATCGAAATTCGTGTCTGAAGACAAACCTTTCGAGCAAAGTTATTCAATATTCAGCTCTCAAAATTATAAAACAAAATAACGATTTGGCTCTGAATTGGATGAAGTCAAAAAGAGATTTATCCATGCCCAATGATTGCGACAAGAGAGAATGTGTAACAAATAACGAAAAAATATATATCTTAATCAGGGGCACATCAATGAATCTTTGGAAAGAGCTGATTAAACGGCTCGTATATCGATGTTTTTCGCTGATAATAAGGGTAATATTGATGAAAGCGCGTGGAAAAAAGTAATTACAAACAAAACTTTCCGAAAAAGAGCCAAGTGCGGTTATTTTAGCACGCTTTTCCATATAAAGATGCACATAAAATTTTTTAAAAAAATACGACAAAACATTCAAAACTGCTTTGAAATTCACAGTTCTCAAACACAATTATAAGTGCGACTGAATCAGTGGTTTTTAAAACAAGTCTTGAAGTTGAAGAATAAGCAGCTTACATAGCCTCTGGCGTTTTCAGTGCAGGAGTTATTTGGCCGCTCTTCTGGCTCAGTCGACATTTAGCTTCCCAGTCCTGGTACAACCCTCTCGGAGTTTCAGTTGAATTCATAGTGGGTTTTCTAAAAGAAAAAATTTAATGAAAAAAAATGTCTCAAAACTAGGTTAACAGTTATTTTGAGGAAGATCGAAGTTTCACGTTGCCAAAAATTTCACTTCACAATAAAAATCTAAAAATAAACTTAATGACCTTGGGAAAATTGTTAATTAAAATTATAGGTTTATAGCAAGTCTAGCCCAAAACTATGGGCTATTCATAAGCATTTTAGCACCGACATTCCCTAGTCTCATTAGCTGATTTTGAAATGGATCAATCAACACAAGAAACCCACTTTCAATCATGTTTTAAATCTAAAGACTTCATAACATAAATCAAAATCTGGAGCAACTACTTCGTGCTACATTTCGCAATATGTTTTTTTTGAAAAAAAAAATTGTGTGCGACTTTTGGCAAGTCGATACGAACTAGTGTACAATGCAATTCCTACCTATTTTCTTTTGAGCTGAAACAATTTCCCGAAGCAGTTATATTTACACTTACTCTGCGTAGAATGTTAAGATCTTCTTGTGCAGAGACGCAGAGTCGAAGAAGTCCTGACCATTTTCGACCCCTAAGAAAACGATTTTTAAAACTTCTTAATCTTTTCAGATGTATACTCACCCATATGTGAATGAAGCAAAATATCAACATTTAGCGTTCCGCTATTGACATTGTCATTTTTGATTGCACTAATTTGTTTAATTAACTCATTGCTGCAGAAGTTTTTTGTAGCGAAGAGTTTTGATTGGATCTTTTCACATTACAATTGAGAAATGCCTTTGTTTTCAAACTTAAGCAAAACGCTAAGGGTTCAAACCAGCATATTCTGGATTGCAAGAAAAATTTTCTTCTTAAACTTGTTTTAAAATAGTAAGTGTTCTTTTCTAACCAATAACAGAGAATGTCCATTCGAGTTCTCGAATTACATTTCCATTTTTATCATCCGTTTGAACCTTATGCAACTTCACATCTTTTGTTGCCAGGCTAACTGAGCCCCTCGGACTCTGACCAGTCTCGGCAGGCGTGAACAGAAGTCGCTCATAGACTGCACCATTTATATCAGTCAGAACCTCAAAAAAAGCAAATTACTCTAAGTTAAACTAAGTAAGTTTTCAAGTTTTTCAAAATTCAAATTAGCCAAAATTTTCGCTCTGTATTATTTCGGAAATCTATGGAAAGCTCCAATTTGTTAGGTAGCTTGTTTGAGGAGTGTATATTGATTTTTTGGTTACCCGGATCTAATTCGCATCAAAATTAAACTTCTTGTTTAGAACGTAAAAAAATATCTTACTTTATGCATGAGCATTTTTTGAATACTTTCATCAGGCGTGATGCGAATTCCGGATAACTGAACTTCAATGATGTCATTTGGAAGATTTTTGTCGTTCCAAGAATCGCTCTTAGGAAACAAGTTGCGATCGCTCGTCTGTATTTCATACCACATTTTGCTGCCTCTCATGTTCGTGAAAAACTTTGATCGGAACCCATTCGCAATTTTACTCATGCTCGTTGAAGTAAGTTCGTCGTTACCTGCCGAAAAATCAACATGAGTTGCATCAGCAAAATTTGAATAGAAGCTTGTTAACCTAGTAAACAGGCTTTTTTTCTTTTTAAACTACCAAGGAAAAGCCGTGATTATACGAGCTTTTTTTAAAGTAAATTTCATTAAAAAAGTAAAACAACTGCTATAAGCAGTCTAAAAATGTTTCATACAAATTCTTAGCAACAGATTTTTTGACAATTCTTCAATATTTTCACCAGTTGATTGCAAGTTATATTTTGCTTATGCGCTCGTCTCCATCAAAATTTTTGCGTTTGTCTAAACGAATTATGGACTTTTATTTACTTGAGACAAGCTCCTCTATTTCGTGTATGCTTGGCATGTGTCGTAACTGCTTGTTTATTGTCTTCAGAGATTTATACAAATGGCCATTCACTGAAGTCAGTCGAGTGGCGAACTCGCGGTCAAAAATCTTTAGAGCATCCTGTGCTGAGAAGTCTTCTCCAAAATATTCGCCGTATTTGTTTTTGTAGTCCCAAGAAACCTGAAAATAATGCAAAACCACAAATTACTCGAACCCTTGCTGGCGTGCAGCATGTTTCGCAGATCAGTGATATTACAACAATGAAAAATAATTTAATCCTACAAAGGAAACCCATGTCAAGACTTTTCCCATGTTTTTTTGCAAACCAAGAAAAAACTGGCAAATTTATTAAATCATAGCTAGCATAAATTATAAAAAATAAGAAATTGCCAAAAAAATAGAAAATAATTTTTCGGTTTTTTAGATGTCTCAGTTTCTAATTTTGTCAAAGTTGAAACTCAGCAAAGTTCGTAATGAAGACAGACAAACTTCATCATACGTACATCTTCATAGCGCAGGTTGTTTCCCCCCAGCCTGATATCCGCATGTCCCAGTCTGCCGTCGGGCGCTTCCAGAGAGGGGGCTATGTAGAAGAGGTAAAATCTGGCGCCGTGGAAGCGGAACCTGTTGAAGCCACTCCCCCAGAACACTGGGATCCAGAGAGGATTGTAGTAGAGGTCGTATCTCATCACCATGTCTATCCTGTCGAACTTAATCGTGAGGGTGCGAGCTGAAAGAGCGATGCTCGGAGACCTAAATA